GCCATTTGGAATTCTCAGCGTAAATACTCTCCACCATTTCAAATTAGTAACAGATTATAACAACGGCACTATTTTCCAACTTGGCGTCCCATTGTCTAACCCTACCTATCACTTTAACCCTGTACCAAATGAATGCAAGTACTGGCTATGCCAAAACATGTCCCAAAGGACTTGCAATGCACCCAAACCTTTCACACATGGCAACCATTGCGTGCATCCATTGAACAAAACACAATTATCTACATGGCACAAATCTAATCACGCACCACACAACTTTTTTACTAAAGCCAATTGCCATTACTATATGCCCTCAACGCACAAAGCCACAACGGCTTCAACTTACAACCACAATGCCCAAAACATGTCCATACAGCAGGACAGCTCGCACAACCCCCACATAGGGCTCATACGTGACCATACGTCGTCACGCAACAATCACGCACGTGTACACCGCAACAAACACGATACTCACAACAACAATACACAGACAACATCCATCCAACAGGACGGTTTTCACGCTAAAAACACACGCGTCCATACGTCATCACAACGGTAACACATGCACAACCATTAATAACACAACCATCCCGTCTACACAAAACATAGAAAAATTCACGTCACCAAACAACCACACAGTCGAAAAACATTGCGATCTTTCCTGTGAGGAGCTGTGAACGCTTATAAAAAGTTCATTCCAGACCACGCCCGCTTGCGGACGCCACTTGTCAACCTTCTAAAAAGGGATGTCATGTGGGTCTGGGATGACGAATGCCAGAAAGCATTCACTAGCCTGAAAGAAATCCTTACCACACACCCCACATTACACCTTTACCAGGAAGGTCTGCCATGCCAGGTGTACTGTAACGCCTCAACACTCGGCATCGCAGGCGTTCTCAAACAGGTCTACCCTGAGGGAAAGACATACACAGTCCAGCATTTCAGCCGCTCTCTGCGTGCTCACGAACGAAGTTATTCAAACTCGGAACTACAATGCCTAGCCATTGTGGAAAGTGTGGATAATTTCCGCGCCTGTCTAATGGGCAGAAAGTTTACAATACTTTCTGACCATCCCGCATTGCAGTGGTTGAAAGGGATCAAAGCCCCGTCAGGCAGATTGTTTCGGTGGAGATTAAGGCTGTCAAGATACGAATATGAGGTCCGTAGCATAAATGGAGTACAACAATATGAAACGGGCGTTGTAACTCGTATCCCATTTTGTGGCTTTTTAGATGCGTCACTCATAAAGAGCCATCAGTCTTCCCCATCGGGAAAATCTTGCGTGACTATGGATCACAAGGGATTGCATACCGTCTCCCGAAAAGGTGTAACTAAAACTATAGTTCCAAATTCACTCACAGCCAGACTTCTTAAGTCCGTCCATACCCAACATCACCATCCAAACATCTCAAAGATGACGAGACTCATCTCTTCACAATATTATTGGCAGAACATGACACAAGACATTGCAAAACAGGTAAAAACCTGTCCCACCTGCCGATTCGCTAGAAGTATCGATGAATCCAATCAACCTTTCCAAAAAGACACCGATACCACCCACAAAATCAGACAAAATTCGTACACCAAACATACCACACACGCAAAACAAACACTAACAAATTTACAGAGAAACGATTGCACCTTTCCACTTAAACCACCTATAACCGATATATCTTTAACAAAACCATTGACCACCAAACAGGCGAACTGCGAATCTGACAATCATTTAAATCCTACCATTTTGTCCAAAAAACGATCCACGCCATTCTCCAACGATAATAAGAAGTGCGATATAGAACAACCACAATTAAAAATTAAAGTTCAAACAGATATTCCAGAGCCACAGTTCATAACACCAATATGAGAGAAGATGCGTCGATACCCCATCTTTCATCTGATTTTTGTCCTTTGTCTGCTAGTCCTACCCTATAGATTCGTCCCATTCCTATCCATCAGTTACATGCTAATATATACCCTATCTTCTCATAGAATTTTCCAGCTGCAAGAGGCAGTTTTTCATATAGGAAACTCCATCTTAAATTCAGTGTCTCATATAGGCCAAGCACTTGTAAAACTCCTTAGTATTCTAGGGGACATTCTCGCTGAAAATCTAGACAAACTCAGAGGAAAATCCCCAAGCCCATTAGGGGACGTACAGAACCATTAGGAAAAATTCAATTAGAAAGAACAATTAGGAAACCAGGAAGTGAGAAGGGACACTTCCCCCGCCCGACAAAGACGCCGGTCAGCAGCTACGTGCAAATAAATTGGGAATCACCCCGGGGAGGGATCTTGTTTGTTCCTCCACATCGCCCCCCTGCTTCCGGTTTCTAATTACCATCTCCCCTCGACCAACAGTTAAATTGAGGTCAAGCTGTGGACTTCTCTAAATGTCGTCCAGTTTCCATTCCCCATTCAAGCTACATATCGACTTTTACAAAAAACATAGTTCGATCATATTATCACGAGAAAATTAACACGTTACACACAGAACACTCCTAATGAATTCACATTTCTATTCTTATTAATTCTTATTATTCTTTACAGACTTCCAAAATTACGTTACATTCAACCCACGTCACACACAGACGCTAGTTTTAAAAAAACACAGAATTCGTTTCACACATTTCTTACACAAAAACTTCTAACATTTTCCACAATACACGCAAAGACAAAAGAAAATTCTACAGGGTATAATTAATTGATTGCGAAAACTAGATTGTGGCATGTAGATACAAAGCGAGTTGTGAACCTCGCTATACATTTTCTTTATATTATATCATTCATTTACATTATTTTCTTATTTTAAAATCAAAATACTTAATCCAATTTATCATTTTTCTAATTCAATTTATTATCACTTATTTTAGCAATTATTTACCATATTATTTACCACCTCTTTTATTTTATCATAGTTCCATTTTTATCAACGAAAACTCATTGGTTTTCGGTTAAATTTAGACATTAGGTTATCCTTTATTTTACAAAAACCTTTTTCATTTTTCTTTTTTTTTTCACCAATGCAACACAAGCATTCAACTTTGATTTCGTTCAACTTTTATTTTTATTTTCATTTTTTATTTCTCAAAAGACCTAATGAAACCCCCTCGATTTCCTTCCCAATCTCGAGCAGCATAGTAATTAGGCAATTCCTTTTTTTTTTCTCACCACGCAACAAAGCATTTTTCTTTTTTTTCTCTCACCACGCAACAAGGCATTTTTCTTTTTTTTTTTTCAACCAAGCCTTCACTTTGATTTCATTCAACTTTATTTTTGTTTTATTTTGATTTCTCAAAAGACCTCATGAAATTCCCTCGATTTCCTTCCCAATCTCGAGCAGAAAAGTAACTAGGCATTTTTCTTTTTCACCAATGCAACAAAGCATTTTCTTTTCTTTTTTTTTCACCACGCAACAAGGCATTTTTTCTTTTTTTTTTGTGCAACCAAGCCTTCACTTTGATTTCATTCAACCTTTATTTTTATTTTATTTTTATTTTAGATTTCTCAAAGACCTCATGAAATTCCCTCGATTTCCTTCCCAATTTCGAGCAAAATTTAATTAGGCATTTCTCTTTTCCCACTATGTACCATAGTATTCATTCTCATGTTTTACAATTACAAATTTTAATTTCTATTAATTATACGCAAGCTATATATCATTGATACCATTCTTTTTTTATCTCTTATATCCTTACCAATGCTTGTATATAACCTCCCTATAACCAATTAATTTTCCCACAAAATTATTTTTTTTTCCTTTACAGAACTCACTCAGGCTAAACCCCTTCGTAAATTCTTCACATGTAGGGGGCGCATCTATCATAATTTGTACATAGCTAGATGCAAACCCGACCCAATATGTATGAAATGTATGTTCAAAGATTTAATAAAGAACAAGGCTTAACAATCTGGAGAGAGAAGGCCTAAGAGGGAACAATCATTAGCAGGGTTTTATTATCCCGGAACTCGTAAAAGTTGAGTTCAACAAACTAGCACTTCCTGGTCAGGTTAAAACAAGTCCAAAAGACAAAGAAGTAGCAAAGACCAATCAGAGAGTAGCTCATTAGTCAAGGACCTATAGCGAACGTACACGTCACGAACGGTCAACCAATGAAAAGAAAGAAGAGCTTTCTTCTTAAATCGAGAACACAGAATAGGCAGTTAGCATTTGGACAGCATCGAGTTAGCACCTGGAGTTAGGAGCTCGGCACCATCGAGTTAGCACCTGTAGTTGAGAGCTGGACCGCACCGAGTTAAGTCCGGAGCTCGCCGCGATAGAGACCATTTTGGAGTCATCCTCATTCGCTCACCCCTTCAGATAAGTCAATCCTAGCACCATGTGAACAGTTATAGCCACTAGTCCTCATCCGCTCAACCTCTCAAATCCTTCTCTCCCTCGATTAATTGCCTTATTTTCAACCCAATCAATATTGTGTACTCTCGTTATTTTCCCCTGTTGTGAACACCTGTCCACTCAGCACCAACGACTGCGCCAACACCTCAACAATTACCAATCAACTCAAAACATTATTTCACCCGTTTTACCACATATATGAGTACATTTTGTGTAGAAATAGGATTAGTTGACTTTATAAGGTAAAATTATTCATACAGTTTGTATCCCTCGATAGCTCAGTTGGCAGAGCGGAGGACTGTAGATGTTACAACGGTGATCCTTAGGTCGCTGGTTCAAATCCGGCTCGAGGGAGTGACAGAGGCCGATGAGGAAAGACGGTCGTGACTATATATATATAATATCAACTATGTTAATTAAATCAAATACCTAAACACTAATATAATACAATTTTTGCCATCACACACACTTTTTTCCTGTAGTTTATGTGTTACTTCTGTATTGCTATTCTATGGCACTTCTATTATTTATTATTGATATACTTTTAGTATGAAGGAAATTGCACCCAAGGGATTTCTCGGGCGAAGCCGGGTCATTCGCCTAGTATATAATATAAATGAGTTTTAAAAATTTTGTAAAAAAAAAAAAATGCATCGGCCAGGAATCGAACCCGGGCCGCCCGCGTGGCAGGCGAGCATTCTACCACTGAAAACCACCGATTCTTATAAAAAATGGCCATATTTGGGTATTCATTTCATTCCGGATTACTCCGCGTAAAAAAAAAAAAGTTTTTCAAATGAAATAAAGAAATAGCCACCGGGGGAATTCTCGGGTGAAGCCGGGTCATACGTCTAGTAGATTATAAACATAAGGTAATAAGACCAGAATTCTGTGTTTCTCAGAAAACTACGTTCTTCTTATCTGTTATCTTGTTTACACACTTGATAACAGTAACTATTTAAAACATGCTGTCGTAATCAGTCACTCAGGCTCAGACAGTTACATCGCTGCTCTCCCGCTCTTGACATGCCTCCAGCCAAGAAGAAAAAGAAGCCCTACAAGCCCGTGGACGTCGCCGACCTGGAGAGGGAGGACGAGATGGTGATCGCACGCAACTGCAGCATCCTGAGCCCCTTTGGTCATCCTGCCCTGAAATCCCTGCATCCGCTTCATCGCCTCGCGGACTGAACTGATCAAGGCCCTTGCTACCAAGGTAGAGGACCTCACGGTCACCCTCGAGTCCTTCGCGGAGCTGGACGATATTGTGGAGGTCAACAAGCCCAAAACTGCTTGCCACGGCACTCAAACCTGCCCTGCTCCTTCCTGCAAGGAAACCAGCTCCCAGACTGACCCCACCAAGCCTGCCACTCCTTCTCCTGCTGAACCCCCTGCCAAGAAGCCTGCCTCCACCTTGCCTGCTCCTGCTGCAACCAAGAGGAAGCAGCCTGAGGCTCCCAACCCGCCCGCAAAAAGATCCAACCTAAAAGGTCCAACCAAACCTGCGTCAACCCGCGTATCCAAGCCTGCGGCCGCCCAAGTGGTCCTCCATGGGGAAAAATCGGCGGCCCACACAGTGGTCGTCTCTGACGACCCACAGGCCGACCCAAGGGAGATTTACAAGGCTGTCCTCGAAGATTCTTCCAGGGAACACTCGGGGATATCCACCGGTGCACAGAGGAGGCCCTGGAGTGGATTCGTCATCTCGACATTCCACTCTAGAGAAACCTGCCAACATTGTTGTATTGTGCTGTAAAAAACAATATCATACGCAATAAATAAATAAAGGCTGTCCGCGCTGCCCACACTCTACCCCAAGGCGTTTGGGCCTCTCTGCGTACCAAGGGAAAGCTGGTCCTCCACTCCAGCAATCCCGACATCATCCCTGAGGTGACAACCTCCCTGGCCAGCAAGCTAACGGGAATGAAGGTCCGCCAGCAGAAGAAGATCCTGCCAAGAATCTGCCTCTTCAGAGTGGATGAGGAGACCTCCAATTCCAAAATCGAGGAGACCTTCCTGGAAACCGCTGCTGTCAGCAAACTCCCTGGAGAAAAAGTGATGCGCGTGGCGCACCGTTCTGCGCCAAGAAACGGGACCTGCACCGCCTTCATCGAGGTGGACCTCAAGACCTTTGGAGCCCTGGGCGTTCGCGGAAGAATTGTGGTTGATGGTGTAATCCTCAACTTCGAGGAGTCCATCCGCGCCCGCGTCTGCTTCCGCTGTTGTGGCTTCGGCCACAACTCTGCCCAATGCACCAGAGCTCCTAGGTGCTTCCACTGCGGTGAAGACGGCCATGAAGGCCGCGCCTGCCCATCCATTGCTGACCAGCGCACCTCCAAATGTACCAACTGCTGCTCAAAGGGCCTCTCAGACAAGCACGAGGCGAGAGCCTCAAACTGCCCCATCCTGAAGTCTAAGGCCCTCAAGTATTAGGCTTCAAGAACCTTCTGCCTCCAACTCCACCTGCCACCTTCTACTGTATTCTGGCCTATGCAAGACTCCTGCCTCACTGCTCCCTGGCGCTGCTCCTCTGCTTTCCCAACGATTCCACCATCCCTACGAGACACCTCCTGCCGCCAGATCCAAGGATCCCTTGCCACCTGACATCGCGTCTGCAGCCATGATGAGTCGAGAAGGGCTAGAAGTCCATCCCATTTGGACAATTAGCCGGAACAATATTCATTCATATTTCTCATTCCTGCCCTATCTTGAAGTCTAGAGCCCTCAAGTTCTAGGCTTCTAGGACCTCCTGCCTCCTCAACTGGACTACATCCCTGCTTCTCACTGCATTAAGGCGCTGTTTCCCTGACTTCTCCAGCTTCCTCCTCCCCTGCGATGACACCTCCACTGCCTGATCTTAGGATCCCTTGCCACCAGTTCGCGTTCTGCTGCCATGTTGGGGCTAGAAGACCTTATCTGATAGGCCAATTAGCCCGGAAATCCAAAGAAGAAGAAATTTCTCATCCCGACCGGGGTTCGATTCCCCGCCGGGGAGCTTTTTCCCCTCCAACTGTGCTTTATTTATATTCCGCTTTACGCGGCCATCGGGGCTCAAAAATCATTCATTTTGGTTAGCAGCCCCGTAAATAAAGATATTTCCAAATTTCTCATTCAGTACTTTTGTCTGAGGATGGTAACAACAACGCTGAAACGTCACACACTTTTTATTTATTTGGATTTGGTCTTATTACCTTGTGTCCATTTAACTTAGTTTATCTATTCTCCTTTGTTATCTACCAAACTATTTAAGTTCTCATCTAATAAATCAATATTTTATTCTACCCAAACGTCTCGTCACCTTCATTACTGTGACAATGTAAATATTAACAATTATGTAAAAATCTGCAAAATAAAAAAACTCGAAATGTGCTTAGCTATTCAAATCCTGATATCAGAATTGTTTATTTTTTCTAATTCATTACTGTAATGCAGTAACGCCCCTGCTCACACATCGTTGCTTGTGCGCGACTTTTTGGCCAAAAACAACACACTAATGATGCCGCAGCCACCATATTCCCCAGAACTGGCCTCTGTGACTTTTCTTGTTCCCTAAACTGAAGAGGCCCATGAAAGGACGACGTTACGCTACGCTTGACGAGATAAAGACGGCATCGAAGGAGGAGCTGAAAAAGATTTTAAAAAAATGATTTTTTGAAGTTTTTCGAAGATTGGAAAAACCGTTGGCACAAGTGTATAATATCTCATGGGGATTACTTTGAAGGGGACAAAATAGGTATTCATGAATAAATAAATAATTTTTGAAAAGCACAAAAGTCGCGATACTTTTTTAACACACCTCGTATAATTATGATTACTCTATGAAAAAATAGTATAAATGTGAAAGTGTAATGGGATAAGGTGGATAAATTAAGAAAAAAGGCATCTTCTTATTGTGCAACTGAAAGTTGCTGATGGCTTGTTCCATTCATTGGAATAAATATCAACTATTCGTTGAATTTTCTTATATAATTCCAGAATGGAACAATCCTATTCTTGATTAAGTCTATGTAGATACAGCACGACGTACCAGTAGCTGGTAGTAGAATTAAGGATGTCTCCAATGTCCGCTACCAGAAGGATCTTCCTCAGCTGTCCAGGTCGGGTAAGTTTCTCTGTCATCGTCTTTCAGGATCATCCACACGGCTACATTCACTGAGACAACTTGTCGCTTCCTCTCACACCACCGATGTCATCAGACTGTCTGTTCACTCCCGCCCCACTTTCCCTCTTCGTTAGCTGACTTCTTCTTTTCATCCCACAGTCCCCATGGGCCAGTAGTATTGTCTTGGCTAACACCCATGTCGTCTTGTCTTTTGTAAAAGCCAGATGTCTCAAAGTGTTCTCCAAAAAAAAAAAAAAATCTATAATTCCAACAATTTATAAAAGGATCCCGCATGTGTTTCTTTTGAACGAAAAATCGAAATTTATTTTAAGGAGAAATAACGATTATTTATAACCTTAGGAATCTTTTTTATTATCTCAATGTTTCAACAAAAATATTTTGTACTTGTCAGGAGCAAAACGCATTGCAAAATGTTTTAATATCATTTGCTCCTGATGAGGACAAAATATTTTTGTTGAAACGTCGAGACAATAAAAAGATTTACTGACCGAAGTATCTTTAATTTTAAGAATCATGAATGCCAGCCAGGAAGCCTCTATCTTTACAAAAATTGCCTCTGTTACCTTAATAAAAATTGACAACCGACGAAATAAAGTATTTTCTACTTTATAATACAATATAATGCGGCTGTTAAAATTATTTTACCGAGCCTTACTTTTGTACATAGAATGAAAGACTTAGGTGAAGGGAGACGAGGGGAAAAGTTGAAAGAAAGGGTCAAAACATCTACATGGTCGGGGGAAACTCCCAGCTGCGAGCCCCAGGACAAAGGTCGATCGATGCCCGGGGAGAAAAAGTCAAGTGGACGTGTGGAATGTGTTTGGTTGTTCTGCGAGCCCCGTGCGGGCCATGTGGCGTCATCTTTTTTTTCTTAGTTAGCAGCAGCGGACCAGGCGGAGTAGACGCGCCTGAGAAATATCCTACAAGCAGCGTCTTGTGGACGGAAAGACGTCGGAGAAGTATCCTACAAGCAGAGTCTTGTGGACGGAAAGACGTCTGAGAAGTATCCTACAAGCAGCGTCTTGTGGACGGAAAGACGTCTGAGAAGTATCCCTCAAGCGGCAACTTGAGGACGGAAAGGACGCCTTGGACATCGCACGAGCCGCGACAAGAGGAAGCTAAGCGAGCGACGGTGCTGCCACCCGAGGTACTGTGTGAACACAAAACTCGACACCCCCCTGTCACTTATTTTTATCTCCCTTCCCTAAGAGTAGTTAATTTTACCTTTTTTTGCTTAACCTTGTTTCTTGTTTTTTATGCATAATTCTTTATATATAAGTATAATTTTGCTTAACCTTTTTTCTTGTTTTTTATCCATAATTCTTTATATATAAGTATAATAGTTTTTAGCCCTTTTTAATTTTTAAATAAAACTTTTATTATACTGTGTAAGTGTGCATTTATTTCCCCCATTGTTTTTCCTTTCAATCGATCACCCTTTATTTTTTTTTTAAACGAACACGAACATTTTGGTGAGCCGGACGTGATCGATTTAAAGGAAATATGGAGGTAATGGATGCAATTAAAAAGCGTAGAAAAGCCATAAGAGGTACTTTCACTAGAATTATTAATGAAATAAATGGGGAATTTGAAAAGTCTCAA